ATGATTTCTGACAAAGTGAATTAGCGCGAGATCACAGTTGAAAAAATTAAGCGTTTGGTATTTTCTTTTAACTATGGCGTGATGAGGTTTCTACGTCATAAGAGGGTCCGTTTCCAGAAGGTACTATTATTTATGTCCAAAAATAAAACATTCCAGTTAATTTTTCGATCGAATTATGTCGTCAATCATTATATATGTATAAAAGGATCATTATAAACATGGTTTGAGTTGAAAGTCATTACAAAAATATGAGCGCTTTCGATTGTATTTTTCAAATTGTCTTCTCATCTCTTTTATTTACAGAGTGATCTCAAAAAAATAACTTTTTAGGTTTTGCAGTCATTTTTTTTAATCGCTTGGATCGCACGAAAGGGAATCCCTATAATGTTCAAAGAACATCATGCGTTCCTAGGGAGGATAGGGATAGGAGGTAGGTATTGGAATTTTTTTTGAACTTCTGGAGATTATATGTTGTTGGGAATACTTCCACAGGCAATGAACTCCAGAGCCTAGCCGTTCTATGGATGAAGGAGTTTTGATAAAGTGCTGTTCGACATCTTCCGAGGTTGACAACGAAAGGATGTGCTGACTGGGCTTGTCTAGTCCATCTGACTGGTATTGCTAGTGAAGGGATGATAGCAGAGTTTTCCGAAGAACATTTCCCGTGGAAGTATCGATAGAAAAGTGAAAGGTCGCCGACCTTTCTACGGTGTTCCAATGATGTCAAAGAGTGAGTGAGTGAGTGTGGCGTCACCCACCAGGCGGATGGCTCTTCTCTGGATGGAATCTAAGAGCATCAGCGTATGTTTTGGTGCTGAACCCCATATGTGGGAACAGTATTCTAGAACAGGCCTTATAACATTTTAGTTGGCCACCAATTTGGAAAATCTCAGGCTCATTTTGAAGCTGAAACTTCAAATGAAGAGATATGAAGATCAGAATTGACTCAAGATGAACATTATACAGTGTGTCAAATTTTTAACGGAAGCAACCCTGAATCTTTCGTAATTATTGTTGAGTTAGGGTTCTAGAGTTTGCAGGAGCGCTAGATATACTGAAAATACACATTATGATCAAGTGGATGTTGGAAATATTCACGGCCAATATCTCCCAAGATAGCTTTTGGGTCTCAAGAAATAAGGACTATACCGAGAAACTCTTTTCTTTGCTTTATTTGTAAGAAAACGAATATTCGAATTCCAAAAACTGATTTCGTGTTCCAAAACAAAAACCTTGTTCTCCCTCGTCTGATTCAACTTCTCTATTCCCTAATCAAACAATGAGTACCTACCTACTATTTGTTTCAAAAGGGTCAACATATCGATATGAAATGGAAGAATCCATCCAGTTTTCCTGAATACGAACGAACATAGGAAGCATTCAAAAAAACACTGATATAATTAGTACTATTAGATGAGGAACTGAACCAAAGAAACGGTTCAGTTTGCACTTCGTACAGTATTCATAGGTATTAACAGAGGTTTCACAGAGTAACAAAATAATGAACCTTATTTTATACCGTTAGCTTTCTTTTTCAGTGAGCGCCAACATTACCGATGTTTCAAATTTTCAGTGAAAGTTCAACTTGGATCAAGTATTTCGGGTTCACACATGAACCAAGATGGTTAAAAAGGCATGGTGTATTCACTATTCGCTGAAAGGTTTGTACCTATATGGTTTGTATCAAAACTGATTGAAATTGAGGCGATATGGTTTCAGTTTGATGAATGAGTGCGAACGAATTCAGGGTGTGATATCTTGTAATAATCTATGGAATAATAGTTATTTATGTATGAAGGGCATAAAGAAGGCTTTTATGACCGTAGCGTGTAAGTAAGAGTATTAACATTGTGGTACATAAAAGCAAGCCACGCGTGAAATACATACCTACAACATTTTATGCAGGACTGTTTTAGACATTATTATTAACAGTTAATATTATATTTATTGATGATTTTGAATTCATTTGGACAAATTATGTATGCCAGCGGCGAAGGAAGATCGAATGGTAGTCTTCTTGAAATTACTGAAAAAAAAACGATGAAATTACCCGATCACCTACTTTACAGCCCGCTGGACTCCTTTATCGCCCTAGGGCGCTAATGTGTTACTTTAGGCCCGCAAATCTGGCCGATAAAGTGCCACTTCACGCCAGGTCGTGCATAAAATGCATTCATTTATATCAACTTGCTTCGTTCTCGAGATACAGGGTACAATATCAATATTCCCAATAAAACTTAAAATACGTACGAATGGTGTTATAACAATTGAGTGGGCATATTACGTTTGTTTTTCTAGTAATTTTCAATTCACGAAAGCGTATTGGAATGAAGAAAGAATTTAATTGTCATAGTTTCAATTATTGAAATTCCTTCCTTTAAGCTTTCTGTCCAGCAAAAGTGTTAAATTATGATATCATCAAAATTCAAATTTCGGGCCAGGGAATGTTCGATGGATATAGAATTGCTAGGTTAGATATCTACGTTATCTTTCTTGTTCCATATAATTTCTCAAACATAATTTTTTTCTACTAGCGTGCGGAAAAGTTCACTTTTCCGCACTCATTTCAGTGTTGAAAGAGTCACTTTTTCGCACTGAGTGCGGAAAAAAGTTTTTTCCGCACTCAGTTTTGGAAGCGGCTATAACTGCAAACTTGGATCTACTACCATCAAAATCCCGTCACAGGTATAATTTGTTTGAAAACTGGTGCCAGAATAAGGGAATCAGGAGTTTCAGAGAAGACGTTTTTTTGGCTTATTTCGCTGTTAGGAATATGAGAAATGCAGTGCACACTTCAGGAAAGATTAAAGACATAAAATGAATTTTGATAATTCATCAGCAAGTTCTCTAATAGAAGATGAGTTTTCAATTCCGTGTCTGAAAGTGGACCTCAGCATCAAACGAGACATATATGTATTTTTTATATGGATTAACAAATTCCAAAACCTTTTCTAATAATTCGTCATTCAAATTTTGCAAAGTGGCAGGTTGCAAGACACTGAAATTGAAAACTGTTTCATCCATTTCAAGAAAACGCGATCGCAGTTGACTAATGATGAATGTCTAATACACGATAGAATGTGGAGACGTTCATCCTCGCAAATATCATCAGAATGACGTTCCACTTTCATCAGGGTTCAATTTCCCCTCAGGGGCTCACAACTTGTGAATACGGGAATGGTGAACCCGAGATACCCTCTAGCCGGATATTCACCAAACTTCAACTTGTCTTGGGTGATATCCTCTTCTCCCTTCCTTTTCCAATCTATTCTATCGGCCTTCCTGGGCCAACTTCTCTTTGCCTCTTTCCCCTCCAAGTTCACTTTCATTTGTAATAATAAATGTCCCTTGCACCAGGCATTTTGCGCCACTGGTTTTTGTCAACAGTAACTTTGAGTGTAATCAGATAGAAATAATGGTGGACGCAGTTTCATCTGACTCTCTTATCATCAATTCTAGCACCAACACTATTTCTACTCCATATCAACGATTTGTTGGAAGCAACCTCATGTCCAGTACACAGCTTCGCGGATGATAGTACCCTCCATACCGCCTTCTCTTCCAGGGCTCCAATACCAGCCCGACTAATCAAATACGAACGAGTGAGAAATGTTGACAACATAAATGTGGACTTGGCAACAATTATTCTCGAATGGGGATCCAATAACTTGGTAGATTTCAATGCATCAAAACACAAGCATGTCTTTTCTCAAGAAAAGCCGATCTCACTGTGCCCAACATAAGCTTGTCAGGAGTGACCATACCTTTGAAGACATCCATTTCGATGCTTGGTATTACTATCAGCAATAACCTTTCTTGGGAAAATCACGTGAGATCAATTGCTAAAAGTGCATCCCAAAAACTTGTTTTTTTGTTTCGGGCCAGGAGCTATTTCACTTTCAGTCAGCTGCTTATGATCTATAAGGCACAGATTCGACCTGTAAATGGAATAATGTTCCCATATTTGGACTGCAGCACCCAAACATACTCTGAAACTGTTGTATTCTGTCCAGAAAAAGGCAATTTGTCTCGTGGGTGATGCCTCGCCCACAATCTCACTCACTTCTCTGGAACACCGTAGAAAAGTTGGCAATCTGGCTTTATTTTATAAATATTTTCATGGACGATGCTCTTCGTCTTCTGGAAAATCAACAATCGTTCCTCCCTTGGCAGTCTCCGCGAGATTAATCCGTCGAGTTGAGTCTTTGCACCCCTTCGTGGTCACTTTGTAGACCTGCAGAACATCTCCAAAGACTCGTTCATCCAGAGAACAGCGAGGCTCTGGAACACATTGCCAAGGGAGGTGTTCCCCGAGGCATATAACCTCCAGAAATTTGAGAAGAACACCAATTCCTACCTTATTTCCCTTGGTTTTCACGGTGTTTTCTGAACATTACAGGATATCACTTTTCGTGGGAACCAGAACATAAAAAAACAGATGCATTGCAGTGAGCCCTTATTGATATTTTTGCTGAATATCATTGTACGCGTAAACGCCACTGGTTTTCATAAATCTTCATTGGATTGGATAAATACATTTTGCTTGTCCCTTGTCTTACTTCTGTATTTCTCCCAGTTTTTGGGGAAACAATAAAAATTTGATTTGATGTTTTGATTTTGGTGCTCTGAAGAGTTGAAGACATCCATTGAGATTGCTGGATAAACTGAAAAAACATAATTATCTTATTCTAAACATTTTTCGTCCTATTTATTAGTACTTCAAAATAATGAAATAACATCAATTTACTGAAACAGTTCTATTGACCATTTCAATAATTATTATTTTTATAACGGATCTGGTGTGAGTGGGTGCGATTTGACAACGAGTCCAAATACTCAACAACAACAAAATATCGAATATCTTCGAAACTACTGTTCGATGTCTGTGTCGGGGCCACCCGGTATTTCCTCGGGACAAAAATCAGAGCTGGCAACGCCGCCGAAGTCGCGGTGACAGACGACGATCACACGATCACAGACCTAAAACTCGAAAACCGTAGGACGGCCGCCGATCGTCGATACTTAGTTGTGCCGCGAGGCTCTACTGTAGAGTGTAGACAGCGGGATGTACCGTTTAGCTCCGTTTTTTTAATCCAACCAAGTAGGTTTAAATGCCCACAGGAATTGCCAAAACAGCAACACTTCCCAGCCAAGACTGCGCCACCAACCTTCAACGCATATTACCCAGATTACCCACATTTCCGGATGCATTTATGCTAGTCTATCCGATTGGCGAGTGATTCATAGCTATTTATGTCGTATTTTCGTTCATGCTAGAGCTATTGTTACTGTCTCTGGCTCACCTGACTGATGTTTCGAATGGATACTGGATACATGGATTGCAATGTTTGTGTGATTGTGATTTAGGTTAATACAGACGACGTGATAATCGCGTAGACTCGCTGAAAAACATTATTTTTCGACTGAAATTTGTTGTGTGTCGGTGTTCAGTGAAAACAATTTTTATGAACACCCTAACAGAGACTTCCCCTATCATGGATATATTGCCGAGTGTAGACATTTTCCGGGAATTGCAGGATATCCATGATACAGGATATTTTTCAGCGAAGCCATCTCTAGACGACCACTGGCAACAGGTAATCTATAGCTTTTTCTAGCTAAAAAACATCGTTTTTTAAAGGGAACCTGGAGCTGAAAATTCTGACAGCAGATTTAACTTTCACTTGTCTCCCTGTAAGTACCTGTTGTAATAAACGCGTACTCTGGTGAATCGACACATTATCGACACCAATCCAAACCAAAACCAAAACCTCCGTGAATCAAGAGAGCTTCAATCAAATAAAATAAACAAACGTCATAGCAAAATCCAATATGCCTGAATCTAGCTGTCATTTCAGCAGTATCATACCTATTTTTACGAGTATCCTTACGTTAGTCATAAGTTTTTGAGGTAAGACAAATGCTGTAATCGTTAGACTATTATCTTTATTATCTAATTTCACTGATCCATCGTTTTTTATTGTTTTTATGAGTTTTCGTTTATTTTGTGAAGAGCTTTGAGCAGTGTTGCCAAGTGTCGGGCTATCAGTCATGCTCGAGGCCGAGGTACAGTGTTGCCAACACTTACGGTGCAAAAGATAGATACCCTTCAAAAGTAGCTAGAAATGTCAGAATACTTTTTTGGCAAAACTGGTAATTTCTTTGAAAATTTTATTCCAGGGAGATGATAATATTGATAATGAGTTTGTCTTCATTCATCATCATTTAGTGATTTACTCTCGGAATTACACAGAATTACATCGGAATTACATGAAAAATTATACTATCAATTTTCGAAATAATTCATAAAAAGATGAAACGGAAGGATTCAGCTATCGGAGCTTCTTATTTTTAGCAATTTGGTATTAAATCTATACATACGAAAATACGAAAACGAAAATATCTATATGTATATAGTAAGACATGTAAGGAAACCTTGCTTATAAAAAAAAATTATTAGAAACATTATATCCAGCAATATACCATAAACCTCGCCATAAACGTATCGAGAAGTCGAGTATACCTTTTTTTCTCGTGAAGAAAATGAACAACTTTTAGTTGGTCACTGTTGTTCATTTTTCCCGAGCTTTTTTTCCCTCTTCTAAGTATCCTAATAACCGGTACTCAAATCAATACGACTCTCATGACATTCATATGACAACAATATTACATAGGAGCCCGATAGGTAGAACAGGTGCATTATTTTCATTATTTGCCTCTCGATTTGTCTTCTGGTTTATATAAGTTCATTTGATTGCTAGTGTATCTGCTGATGGCTATGCATTTTTTTAGTAGCTACACCATAAAAATAGCTGGATGATAAAAACTTGCCAGAAAATGGCCGAGTTGGCAACCCTGTCGAGGTCATGCCTAGAGATGCGCGTTTTATTGACAAGACGCGCTTGATTCAAATTTCGCATGATTTTCACATATCGATTCAAAATGTCAAAATTATTCATGGCAAACGTTGAGTGATTGAGCCACTCTGTTTTCCCTTGGGTGTCATTAGGCTTCAGTTTGACCGAGTGTAAAATTCCCGATAGAAGCCAGCTCATTAATAAATTGCTAGTTGAGAAATATCCCAATTCCGAGCTCAATTCATTAGGGAAATTTGCAGAGAAATACCAGAGGAAATACCTCGGGAAATATCTACCTACCTATGTGGTAAATGTAAATGACAAGTCTCGTAATAACTCCATCAGAATAACAATCCCGCGGAAAAAAATGATAATTACGGTTATTTGCGGTTATTCGCCATTTTTCTTTTTCAAACGTATCGAGCATTCAGTGGGAAACTAGGGATTAACGAGAAAATGATAAAAAGAAGCTTGGAAAGGAAATAGGAAGGAAATATAAGATTTTCAAGGAATTAAAGTTGAAGCTCGAGTTGAAGGGAAAAATCTCGGGGAAAATGGAAATGAAGAAAGCATTTTGGAAAACGTTGGAGTAAATCTCGGAGCGAGTCTCGGAGTAAATGAAAGGAATTGAAAGGATATTGAGGAAATCTAAAAATCAACCTCTGAATCAAACGGAGAGATTTTTCACTGCCCCCACAATCTGTACCCAGCGTTGCCAGACCTACTGTTTTAACAGTAGATCTACTGTTTTTGTCCCCGTTCCACTGTTCTCCTGTTTTAGGCATAAAACCTAATGTTATTTCCGTTAACGTTAAACCAAAAGCAAAACTGGGAAATGGCAAAATTCCAGACAAGCGGTCGTAGAAATTAGGCTGCAGAGTTGATAAGGTATTGTTTTGGAGACTATTCAATAGTATTCTTGAACTTGGCCAATTTCCGAGCCAATTTCGCTCCTAATTTAATATGTTTGCCTCATTCTTCGAAAACCATAGAGACATAATTTTCTCAAGTAAATTTGCTGAGGTCAAAGCAGCGTCATGAGTTGATTACAGCCAGCATTGTAGGATTTCTCTTTACCAAAAATAATGTATCTACCTACAAGGCAATGGTCTGAATGGTCATGTTTTGATATGACTTAACCGGACTTAAAATGTTACAATGAAGAATCAATGGGACATCATAGTAAGAAGATGTATGACTCGATGTATGATTTAATTATACTGGAATTATCAGATTCAGTCTGATTTATAAATAAGCTTTTAGTTTCGATTTGGTTTCGGTTTTTACAAATTTTATTTTTTATTTTATCATTGTTGTTATTCTTTGTTTAATTTTTAATTGATATAAAAGCCAAACATTTTTTCTCGTTTTATATATAGGTTTCTATGTTTTTTTCAATTATAACAGCAAATTGTGGTGATTACTGATGATGATCTACTGTTTTTTCCGAGGTTTTTTCCGAGGGTTTTTTCATCCACTCCTTCCACTGTTCCGGCAAATTTTCATCTGGCAACACTGTCTGTACCTCGATCTGTACCCTGTATCTCACTACTGACACTCGATAGGAAACTCGATAGGAAATGAATGGGAATCCGACTGGGAATCCTTGGGGGAATCCCGAGGGAAATCCTATAAAAAATAGGGAACGAAATATTAGAAAATGGAGGAAACAAATGAGAATTGACAGGAAATGAAGGAATTGACGAGGGGTAATCCCGATGGTAATCCACTATCCCAAAAACTCGCCCAAAAACGTGCCCGGATTGGACAGATTGAACCTCGGATTGGACGTAGGATTGGACTGATATTATCGGATATTACTGGATATTACCGTATATTATAAATACGAGATTGGACATTTTCTACTCATACTGAATCCATGGGAAATAAATTGAAATCCTCGTGGAAATCAGAAGAATCAGGTGTGAAACAAAAATGACTAGATAATCAATTTATATTAGAGGCAGTCAAATTTCTTGGAATTTAATAAGAGAAAATTGGATAAAATTTAGGAAATCAACTCGGAAAGCAATGAGAAATGAAAGGACATTATAAGGAATTCAATGAGAAATCGAGTGAAAAATTGAGAAGATCGTATAAGGAAATATGGAAAATCGTGGAAAATGAATGCAAATTAGACAAAATAATCAGGAACATGAGGAAATAAATTGAAATCCTCGTGGAAATCAGAAAAATCAGGTGGGAAACAAAATATCGATTAGATAATCAATTTAAAATAGAGGAAGTTGAATTTCCTGAAATTTAATAAGAGAAAATGAGATAAAATTTAGGAAAGCAACTCGGAAAGCAATGAGAAATGAGAGGTCATTTTGAGGAAATGAAAGGAATTCAATGAGAAATCGAGTGAAAAATTGAGAAGATCATATGAAAAAATATGAGGAAATAAGGAAAATCGTGGAAAATGAATGCAAATTAGAAAAATTAAACAGGAACATTGAGGAATTGAGATGAATTGGCACATATCACCCAACTACACAGATGCCAAAGCTATACAGGGTGGGGCATTAGTGCGTCGGAGCTCGCTTGCTCGACATCTATGATAGCTAGAAACCTGATTCAAAAACGAATGTGAATGAGACAACAAGGTCCATAACTAGAAATTATTGCCGCATATACAGGGCTTACCAAAAATAAGCTAGAGGGTCGGGATCATTTTTTTTTAATGGAATGCCCTGTATATATGCATATTTTTTTAAGCGTCCCTGTGACCTACATCCACTCCTATGATATCGTTGACTATATCTCGTTCATATCAAAGTTATGAATTTTTTTGTCGAAATAATGTCACCTGCAGATGCCTACCGAAAATATCACTGTTGTCACAATTATTAAATTTAAGAAAAAATAATCTCAATATCATTCATTTACAAGATGAGTGACATTTCTGAAAATGTTTCAGGCCCTCAAATGATACAGGGTGGCTGAAAATGATTTTTCAATTCGGAACTTTTCGAAGTTATTTTTCACGAGTTTTTCAAATGGAACACCCGACATATTTTTTGACCATTTGATGTAAAATCGAAACACTAACATATTTATCTGAACATCCATATCGATATTCATAACCATTTTTGAATTATTGAACTTTGAAAAGTATAGGTTGGCGATTTTGATCGATTCAGATTCTTATCTGTCATTAAAACATCAAAAGTCCGATTATTGATTTAGTGAACCAATTTTTTTAAAGAAAGAATCGATACCAGAATCGAAGCAAACAGAAAAAGTTCATATGCTAGTTATTCACAAAGTAAAAAGAGACAAAATTTGCATTTCTCAAGTATCCCATAAATTCATGGCACATTGAAAGCAAAACCAGAATAATTGAGAAATGAAATTTTTTCCGTCTCTACTTCGTAAATATTTAGCATAATTATGACATGACCTATTCATGTCTGCTTTGGTTCTGACATCGATTCTTTCAATAAAATTGGTTTACTAAATTGTTGATTGAACTTTTGATGTTTCAATAACAGATTAGAATGTGTATCGATGAAAATGGCCAGCCTAAAATTTTCAAAGTTCAAAAATTCAAAAATGGTTGCGAATATCGATATGAATGTTCGAATAAATATGTTCGTGTTTCGATTTTACATCAAATGGTCAAATAATATATGGGGTGTTTCATTTGAAAAACTCGAGAAAAATCACTTAGAAAAGTTCCGAATTGAAAAATCATCTTCAGCCACCCTGTATCATTTGAGAGCCTGAAACATTTTCAG